ATTAATCCGGTTCTTTCAACGGTAGTAATCTTGGAATATTAATGCATGCATCTCATGGTTAATATGCCAATGGGAATTAATTATATTGATTAAACCAATAAACCGCTTGTGTTGAGGTTATCAACCTCAAATCGTTTTCATCTTAAGTTTATTGCTACTATCAAGTTAATATACGGCGCTTGTTCTATATTGACTCGATAGTAAGTTTTATTAATGAACGCATCTCGTTATTAATAACTACCCTCGATGAACTGGATATACTCCTCGATTGAGTATTCGAGAGGAAGATAGTTAAAGATATAACCGGGATCGACGAACATTTCATTAAGTGGATAAAAGCAAGACCAAGTCTTCATCTCATTGCATTAAACTCATATAGGTTGTTTATCTTAGTGTTGTTAAAACAAACAAATCTAAACCCCCCTTTTGTTACTACTATTTTGCGGCCGTGTTACGCGACCCGTCGGCACTGGGAACTACCGTGCAATTTCAGAAAATTCTAATAGAAATTTCATATTTAGATTTTTAATGATTCATGATTTTTCTTTGTTTGGTGGTGGGCTAGTAAAGCTAATTTTAGATTTGGAACCAAACTTGTGACTGGGTCAAAATTAGAAGGATTGCTTAGAAAACGTCAAAGACCTTCCGTGAGCAAACTTCTCCCAAACCCTATCTCAGCCACTTGAAGCTCCCTATCCAATTCGAACTGCTTTCTTTAGGAACAATGATCTCCTCTGTTCTAGAACAGACGTGCGGCTAGAAAGTCCCGACTGGACGGAGAGCAAGGCCGCAGATGACCTCCCTGGGCTCGAAGCACAATTGTTTCCTTCAGTCATCGATGTTGCCAGACGGGAGAGGAGAGGAGCTCTGATTCCGGGACGGAGCAACGTCCTCAGGTAGGGATAATCAGCAGATCCCCTAGCGACCGCTGCGCTGATGGAGTAGCATGAACCCGTGTCTGGCCTCGATCCTGCTGCCCTCGCACGTGTGTCACTGGTCTATGGAGAAGACGTTAGATCTGCAGGTCGAGGAGAATGAATTGGGGCTAGAACACTGGACTACTGGTTGGAGGTCGCCAGGTAGTTTCCCTAGTCCGAGCGTGAGTTAGGTTCTCCGATCGTGGAATTGCCGGAGAAACGCACTGAGAATAGAGGGGCGAGCTCGCCATTAATGGCAACCATAAGCTTTGACCATTAGCTCGTCTTGGAGCGACCATCTCGGCGGCGGAGTGATCAGAAGTGAGGGGAGCGACACCGTAACGGACTGACCGAGATTGTTGAGAAGTGAACTGCTGGCTAGCGAGGTGCTCTGCGAGACGCGTCTGAGGCGGATGAGCTTAATCCCCGGGATCTGGGTTGCATCGTCTATCTCCTTCCTTGACCGTTGGTCGGACGGGATATGATGTGGAAGACTCCACTTTTTTTCAATTCCAGATCTGTTTTTTTTTTACAAAACCCTCATCCTCGTTTATTTTGGTTGAATTCTGAATCTGTAATGAACTTTTTAAGTCCCTGATCTGTAAGGGAAAACTGTCAAATAAGTCCCTCACCCTGATCTGTAAGGGAAAACTGTCAAATAAGTCTCTGTACTTTTATGAAAAAGTCAATTGAGTCCTTATACTTTAAAAGGAGTCAATCAAGTTCTCGAAGTGTTAAAAACCCACCAAAATAGCTATTTCATAGGTAAACCCGGTTACCGTCTACATGGATGTCCAGGTGGCCTTTATTTTACTGTTTTCTATTTTTATTCTTTCTTTTTCTACTGTTCACTTTCTTTCTTCTTTGATTTCTTCTCTTTCTTTCTCCCAAAGTGCTCGACGACTCCTCCTTGCTTGGTAATGGTGGCCAATTTGAAACAGATTCTTCTTTGATTTCTTCTCTTTCTTTCTCCCAAAGTGCTCGACGACTCCTCCTTGCTTGGTAATGGTGGCCAATTTGAAACAGATTCTCACAAAGCCTTTCCCGACGATTACTTGGCGGAAAAGCTGCAGACGAGGCATGAGTGTGCAGAACTAAAGTCTAGGACGATGATGCTTGATGCGCTTCTGCGGCAAGCCAAACCGCCGACGCGGCGGACCATCGACGACACTAGACAGGGTCTTGACAATACTGCAATACTAGTCCTCAAGTGTCTCACTCACGGTTTCATTAAGCACGTCTTAAGTTCTTCACCGCCGCCTCATTTCGCAAGAACACGCTGGAAAACACCTCGTCCTTCCTTCATCGCCTCTAACAAGCTCATCCTCCACGGCTCCACCTCATATCATGAGAGCAGAACACTAGTCTCCATATCGGGTCTCCTGATGACAATAGAAGGTGTAGGGTGGATATTATAAAAAAAGAAAGAGAAAAAGAAGAGGGAAACAAAGAAGAAAGAAATTAAAGAAGATGCAGACTTGAAGGGAGAGGAGCTGTGGACTCGCAGGAGAAAGGAGAGAGAGAAAAAGAAGGAAAAAAGAGAAAAGGAAAAAAAAAATTAGAAAAGAAAATAGTAAAAAAGGGCTAGTTGGACAGCCATGTATGCGAGAAACCGGGTTACCGGCTTGTTACCGGCTTGTTACCGGCTAAATAGCATATTTGGTTAATTTTTAATACTTTCTGGACTTAATTGACTCATTTTGAAGTACAAGGACTCAATTGACTTTTTCGTAAAAGTACAAGGACTTATTTGACAGTTTTCCCACTTTTTAATAATTTTTCCAGCTATTTCACTTTATTTTGCTGTTTTCTCTTAACTTTCTACCGTCAAAACGAGAGAAGGCTCTCAATGAAAGCACCTCTTAGAAAATATCCCGGGTAGAGAAACTGACAACAATTCAGTACAGTGAAAATAACTTAGGAGAATACAACGGGTTGGTGGCCTATTTATAGGCGTATACAATATGTCCACCAATTAAGTTCTACATGGACTTGGCCCAGATTTATCAACTAATACTGACGCTAATGGGTCAGCCAGCCCAATAAGTAATTAAGTAATCCCGGACCAATATCTACTAGTCGGACTGTGATCTGAACTTGGTCGGAGCAAAACTCGAGTGTAACGAGCCGATAGTCTTGGACTCGACCCATTATCCCAACAATTACGATGTGTGTAAATCGTCAAATACTAAAATTGTGAAAATGTATTGAATTATTGATACTCTTGTTTGGTTATGTACATATGTATTTTATTCTCTTATTAATCATTGTTCACAAACACTACAATTGCAAATCTATTTTAACTCTTGTAGTTAAAACTTGTTATTATGTACCGGTGTATTAAATTGTAATTTTGTGACAGGGTTAAATTTGATTGTTTTTTTTGAATACGGAGTTAAATTTATTTGTTAAAAATTTATAACTTTAATTTTCTATTCAATCTAAAGGGTAAAAAAAGAAAAGGGTGGGAATGTTATAAAAAGCAGCCCTTAGTCAAATGGTTCAATGGAAAAAGATTTTAAAAAATTGTTTGCGATAAAAAAATGTCTTTTAAAGGCTTAATGGATTAACAATCGTTGTAACCATAATTCTACTTTGTTAAATTTAGCGAATTATAAAAGTCCTTTCTTAATTACTCCGTGAAAAAATCTGAAATATTGTTACTAAATTTAAAAGAAAAAAAGTCATGTATACTACTAATAGAGTTTTCCCGAACAAAAATATGATTAGTTATATTTTCGGACAAAAATATGACTACTCACTGTGTACGAGTCACTGTGAATTGGTCACTATAGTGTATTTTAGAATGACAAGTCACTCTGAACTAGTCACAAAGTATGTTATGTTTTGGAAAATTTTATTAAAAATCATATTTTTTCATTTGAATTTAATTTAGTAATATTTATAGAAAAAGGCTAACCTAAAAAGCTAGTTATGTTTGTACTAAAATATCTTAATTGCATGAATTTTGTCTAGCTAAGATCTCTTACCTAGGGGTGGGCACGGTCCGGGACGGAACGAGAATTGGATGTCCTGGTTTATAATAATGGTTCGGAACGGGACGGGACAAGACGTTGTCCTTTTGTTGTCCCATTTAAACAGATACCGGGACAAAATGGGACGGTTCGGGACATTCCAAAAAATTGCAGTGAAAAAATTTCAATCCCAAAAATGAAGCAAAACTATTTGAAAAAAACACTTGCGCAAAAAAACTCTGACGAAAAATTGCAGCTAATCCAGAAATTTGTGATAAAAAAATGCAACCTACCAAATTAGTCGCAAGAAACAAAAGTTGCAGGAAAAAAAACTCTAACACAAAAAACTATAAATAAATCTGTAAAAAATGATAAAAGATTACTATAAGAGGTGAAGCCTTTGGGAGTAAAAATCAAATTCTTTTGTAGCAGATAGATGATAGCTCATAGTTCATACTAGGTAGTTTAAAGTTTTTTAGGTGCTCTGTTGTTAAAAACAACTAGTATCTTAATAATCATTGGTATTTGGGTTTGTGAAAAAGGGATATTTATTATTATGTGGATTGCATAATGAGTTGTTAATAGACCTCACTAACCTACTATAAAGTACAATTTTGGATTCGGGACAACATGACGGAGCGGGATATATTTTACTTGTCCCAGACCCGTTTTGATTTGAAACGGTTTGGGATAAAAGTAATGTGTCCCAAATATAACGGGACAGTTTCAGAACGATACCGGAGCATTCCGGAACAGACCAATGGGACCGGGTCTTTTGCCCACCCCTACTCTTACCTACGTCCCTATTATTGGGACATAGGTAAATATGAAAACATAAAATTTAAATTATTAAAGTAGATGAGTAAATTTGAGAATGTCAACTTGTTGAGGCGCACCTCTTAGTTTTTTTTTTTAATTTTAAGGGTCCTTTTGAAGATCAGAGTTATTGTTCATCGTCTTCTTCCGAGGATTTCTAAATGGATTAGTACAAAGTATTAGAATAAATGGATAAATATGAAAATGGGCCTATTCTAAAAAAATGAAAATCGGCTTTAAGGATTACATGCCAAGCCGAAGGGATCCAAAGTACAAAATAAGCCCAACTATGTTGTTTTCCACAGAAAGTTACGGTTCAAACCCAGAGACCTATGCACATTGCACACCCTCTAACCGCAGAGTTGCAAAACCCAATCCCCATCCCCAACCCTCGATCAATCCTCCCATGGTTTCTCCCGTAACCACCTTTCAAATCGAGGCAGGGCCTCCACCACTGGAGCTTTCAAATATAGAGAAGCAGTCGCCTTCTGCGGCGGATGTAGCTTCGAGGCTACTGGAGTCCGCCGAGAACACCAATAATGGATGCGCTATGACGGGCTCTGCGGAGCAGCAAACGCTCTCTGCGGCATCTGCCGCTACTCCTAAGTGGCCAGGGTGGCCAGGGGATAACGTATTCCGGCTGGTAGTGCCGGTTCTGAAGGTGGGCAGCATAATTGGGCGCAAGGGCGAGTTCGTGAAGAAGATGTGCGAAGAAAGCCGAGCTCGCATTCGAATCCTAGAAGCCCCTGTTGGAAATCCAGATCGGATAGTAAGATTGTCAGACTTCGAATTTATTCATTGTTTTACAAAAAATATTTAAAATAGAAGCCAATCTTGATTGATTAAGCTAGGTTTTGCTCTTGACCTAAATTACCTTTTTCTTGAAAACCCCATATTTTTTCATTGTCAATGGTACACTAGGTTTACCCTTTTTTCTTCTATCATGGAAACCTTCTGTTAAATGACTTTACTTTTCCCTGTAGTCAAGTTCTATCATGCTTTGCATGAGGCAATTATTTCCGTTACTCATTACAGTGCTTAGGTGTTCTCAATCCAAATCTCAAGCTTAATTATGCTAATAACCAACTTTTATGCGGCTTTCTTGTGGTCATCCGCTGAATTAGGAGTTTTGAGATTGCAATCTACAAAGGTTTATTTCAGAACTGCAGTTTTTTCTTCTACATCCTAGTTCCTGCAATCCTCAATACACTTTTTAAAACTTGAAATGTATGCTGAATATAAACTTCCTAGCACTGTATACGAAGCACCTCAATAGTGGTGTAAACCAGTGTTATATAAATGTATAGAAAAATGAAACTGAGGATAAATAAGTTTATCTCTTCTTTCAATTTCCCCTCTGACGGTCTTTTTTCAGTGAAGAGATGTAGATAATGCTACTAGAAAGATCTCTTTGTATTTGTTTATTTGCTATAAATTTGGGCCCTTGAGAACTAGAGCTTGCATGAAAGTATAGAATCAGATGGTATATAAATTATACCATTCAAGCATGTAACTAATATAAACTGCGCAGTTCGGGAAGCATTTGCACACTGCTCTCTAATTACCTGTGTGGTATGTGTGGTACACAATAATATTGATTGCCTTCAAACATTTTGGACATTGCGGTAACCAGCATTCCAGTAGTGACTTGATTAAGTAATTTCTTTCAAGAAAGTTCTGGTGCATCAGTGCGGGTTTTAACTGAAGGTTTGCTAACATAGAATGTCACTCCTTCCATCTTAACCACATCTAGTCTTAACAATACATTACTTTTTTACATGGTTTGTGTAATTTCTCTTTGCATAGTTTTTTATTAATCACGTTTTATAACTTCTGTTTATATACTGAGTGCATGATATGTCAAAAAGTGAACCAAATGCCTACTACACTTCCATGGCTAAAAAGAAGTGTGATGATTTTGAACTATTGAATTTAGCATATTGGATATTAAATAATTATTTTCATTTTGATTTCAATTTTTTTCTTTAAATAGTACAAGCAAGCCAGGAGATGCCACCAAGAGAGCTGAGAGCAACATGGAAGTCGACCCTAAACAGAGAGCTATATATATATTTATATATATATTGTGCCACAGTAGTTAAACCTTAACAACTGAGTAAAACAAGTACTTTGTACCCTAAAACTATATGAGTTCAATTCATCCCTAATACTCCAGTAAAGGTACAAAGCTCTTAGCGTCCCTTGGGATATAAGGGTTTGGAGGGGAATGCTTAAAAAGTCTTAGTCTATGTCTCTTGAACCAGAATGTTTTTAGAAATAGATAAAATGTGTTTGAAATGTTATATGATCACATGTTTTGTTTATCGTTTAATTTGTAATATCGTGAAGATATATCAAGATTTAGATTATGCACTCCAAATCCTTCCCCACTAAACATAAAAAACCCTCCATCCAAAAAGACCTTAGAAACATAGATCCCTTTCACATCAGATCAAGGGAAAAGGCTATTAACAAAAAAATGATCTTCTAACTTTCTATGGTGATCTGTTGAAAATTGGTATTAGGTTAAGCAAAAATAATCTTTAACATGTTTTTATATGATTTAGGTCCTAATTACTGGAAGAGAAGACCCAGATGTGCCCCTATCCCCTGCAATGGATGGAACACTAAGAGTTTTCAGACGCATTTCGGGATTGTGTTCTGCAGAAGAAGGTGGTGCAGATTCAGCTGCTGCCATGGCTGCATTCTGCTCTATTAAGTTATTGGTGGCTGCTTCACAAGCTGCTCACTTGATAGGGAAGCAAGGGTCTACAATTAAATCAATTCAAGAAAGTTCTGGTGCATCAGTGCGGGTTTTAACTGAAGGTTTGCTAACATAGAATGTCACTCCTTCCATCTTAACCACATCTAGTCTTAATAATACATTATTTTTTTACATGCTTTGTGTAATTTTTCTTTGCATAGTTTTTTTATTAATCTCGTTTTATAACTTCTGTTGTCTATATACTGAGTGCATGATATGTAAAAAAGTGAACCAAATACCTACTACACTTCCATGTTTCTTCCTCTGGGTCGAGTAGGCAACCTTCATTACCCTAAATTTGACATGGATCCATGCATAGGAGTAATTAGGGAGCTGCCAAATACACCAGCTACACCTCACTTATGAAATGGGTGCATAGTAGTGTTTTGCTCAGCCTGAAATACAATCATCTCTTAACGTCTCAGAACCTGATAATGGTTTCACGATTGTAATGCATTTTTTATGATTAAATTCTTGAGATGCTGTATACTTTGTTCTTTACTCCATTTGTCCCATTTTCTTTGCGTCATATACATCTCCCTGATAAAACTTAACTATTCTTTCATTGTTTATTTTTGAAGTCATTTGTTATAATTTTCAATTTGTGGAGTTTAATTGCTGATTTTAGTGGTCCTTTGAGTGTATATAATTTTACTCTAAATTTAACATTTTCAGAAATATTTTATTGTAAATAACAAGAGTCAGTTCTCATTTTAGTCATTTCCTATGGAACAAGTAATTGAGTAAATTATTAAGTCAACTGATTACTGATATATACTCCATAGTGTATTAATTTGGAGAGCATTGCTTTTCTTCCTGAAGACTGATACACTACTGTTCACAAAGGAAATAATCAGTCCCAAGAGTAACATGCTAGACTTATGAGATTCTAATCCCTAGTGTTATTCCATATTTAAACAGCATGCACGAGGTGCTATATTTCTATTTTGTTAAACCTGTGTTGCTGATTGTTATAAATATCTAATTATGACAATAACGTCATCAATTTCCCATTCTTTCATAGATGAGTTGCCCGCATTTGCCACTTCTGATGAGAGAGTAGTTGAGATTCACGGTGAGGCTGTGAAGGTCCTTAAAGCTTTGGAGGCAGTATTAGGACAGTTGAGGAAATTTTTGGTCGATCACACCGTTCTACCTATATTTGAGAAGGGTGTAAGTATGATGAAATTTATATGTTGTTCTGATCCATTTGGATACATAATTACTGAGGCATGTTCAATTGCAGTACGATTCAACTGTTCCTCAAGAGCGCGCTCCCGAACCCTGGAATGAGAAGCCTCGGGCCCAACAACTGCCTGGTTCTGTTCCTGCACTAACAACTCAATCTTTTTCTGAGTTTTCTTTCCCCATGAAACGGGATCCTTATTTACTTGATCATGAGACCTCATTGGACACCAAGCTTCAACGCTCTTCAGTCTCACTCTTTGGACAAGATCCTGCCCTCCATGGCTTACACTCCTCTGTACCTTTACGGACTGCTCCAATAGTTACTCAGGTCAATTTAATGTCTATTCATTACTCCCTCTGCCCCAAGAGTCATATGTCGTTTTACTGAGAATTTTTTTGTTCCAAGATAATTGTTGTTTAGAGATACCAATTCACATATTTTACAAATTTTCCCTTAACAACCCCTCTCCCCATATAAAATGCTTTACACTCCTTATATAAAATGCTTTTGCACAACAACAACACCCAAGCCTTATTCCCAAAAGACTAGGATGTAGTTTTGAACTTACCGAAAATACTCTCACTATATAGAATTCCTCTGCACATTGAAAATAAATTACTTGCCTTTGATATTAGACTTAAATTAGGACATCACTGTCATTTTTTCAGTTCCTTCATATGTTTGCGCTTCTCTAAAGTGTTAATTAATCAAGGACAGGAGTAGTTAATTGTCTCAAACTCGGTGGGTTGTTTTCCGGAAAGGTCGTTATTTGTTAGCACTTAACTCCATTCCCTGTATATCCAGTATAAAAGCTGATATACTGACTTAACAAGAGAATAGAGGAGTGTACATAGAATATAATTCATATCAAAGTTCGAAATTGCATTCAGACACTTTTGAGTGAATGTAGAAATATAGAATAAGTGCATTGTATTTAATTCATTTAATATGCAAAGTGTTCTGTATGATGTTGATCTTCCAACGCTTCCAAGCACTTATCTGTGATTTTGATCTGTGTTGAACTCCAATTGCCTCTACTCTAGAACATCTCAATATTATATTGAACTTGTGAACTAGCAGAGCATTGGGAAGCTTATTTTGTCTTCCCCATACAATCTGACGGTAGCATCCTCATCTTTTGTCTCTACTGCTTGAACATTCACCCTTTCTAACCATTCTATGTCACTATATTGGGCGTTCGCTTCTCCCTCTTCATTGGCAATTGTTGGGTTCAGATCTTTGTATGCATAGATTGATCCCCTTCCTTTCCTGAAAATAACCTGTTGGTGTCACTATTTTTTTGGGTTCTTGGGTAATTTCCATTTGTGTTTGGCTTTGCAGATGACAAAGATAATGCAAGTGCCACTATCATATGCTGAGGACATTATTGGTATTAGCGGAACAAATATTGCCCACATCCGCCGTACGAGCGGGGCAATTCTTAGCATTCAAGAGAGCAGAGGCTTACCTGATGAAATTACTATTGAAATTAAAGGGACCTCATCACAAGTTCAAACAGCTGAGCAGCTTATTCAGGTAGTAGTTTCATCTTTATAGCTGATTTTTTCGTCTCTTTAGCTCTGTTACATTGTAATTGGCACTGATTTTGCATGGGCTGTTTCTCTGATAAGTTTCAACTGGCTATTGCTTTTTGCTCTATTTTCTATGTATTCTTAAACAGGGATATGCATTCCGATTCTCGGGTTAATCTGAACCAAAGATATGTAATTGGTTTTAGTTTAGAGATATTTTTCCGAAACTTTTTAAACTGAATCAAATCGATGAAAACCAAACCAAACAAAGAACAACACAAGCCCAAAACTCCCACCCTTCTTAAAGTTAAGTAGCAAATTTCCTCTTCAATTTTTCTCATTTTCCTTCCTGATCATATCCATGTCTCAATCCAACCCAAGTTTGTACATTCTTGAACACTTTTACTATCTATATTGTTCTTATTGATACTTCCATCCGTGCCATTCTGCCATCTCAAGAGAAAAAGAAGGGACACCTTTACTGGTTAATATTTATTTTGTGTGTTTGTTGAAGACAGTGATATCTGTAGCATGTACTAGAAGCCTATGTGCAGGGTTTGTATATACTCTATTAGTAATTTAGTATATTGAAACTTGCCAGAACCGGATTAAGAAGAAGATAGACAATCCTATTCGTTAAGTGTAATGATTGAGGTGTCCCCACAAGGTTGTAAGGCCGTATTTGAGCCTATTAGCATTTACATGATTTCCTGAAATATAGAATTGTTGTTGGAGTATTAGCATCATATATGTCTCTTGTTTTGCAACAGTAGCGAGTGATTAATTATATGAACTTTTTGTGTGTAGGATTTCATTAATAAACACAATGAACCAGCATCGAGCATGTATGGCAAGACAGATTCTGGACTTGGGTCATTCTCACGTTTTCGTGAGTATTCGTCGTCATCATATCAACCTCAGCAGCCCTTAGGAGGTGGAGGCGGGGGCGGGTATGAATCCTCCAGTCTAGGTGGCTATGGGGGTTATAGGTTTTGAGCGGTTTGACTCACCCAGCATTTGACTAAGTTCAATGTTTGGCTGTATGTATACTTACTATAAATGCTTCCAATGGGGTTATGTGATGTTGGAGTATTTGAATTCCAAAAAACTAGAATTTAAGGCAGAGATTAGAATGAGGATTCGTGATATTTGTTTTCTCATTTTCTTTATTTTATTTTAAATGTTATTTTATTTTCTGTATGGACGCCATGTGTTGTATGTTTTTAGCAATATTACTAGAACTTTTGCTTTTGTTTACTGAATCTGAGCCGTTGAACTTCTAAGTAGGGTTGGTCAAATTAGCTGGCTTCAATTTAGCCAGTAAACTGGTACCAAAATGGCATTTTGGTTTGGCTTGGCTTGGCTTGGTTTGATTTGATTTGATTTGATTTGATTTGGTTTGGTTTGGTTTGGTTTGGTTTGGTTTGGTTTGGTTTGGTTTGGTTTGGTTTGGTTTTGAGCATGAATCCATCTGCTGTATTAGTTAGTCTTAATGACCAAATATAGGAGCGTACGAAGCCATTTTTTTTTTGTTTTCCTCTTCCTAATTAACCCCCTCCCAACCCCAACCCCCCAAACCACCCCAAATGGCCCAAAATACCCAGCCCAACCCGAAAAGTTAAAAAAAATTGAAAAAAAAAATTATTTTTTGGCCCGAACCGGGCCCGGCCGGGTCGGGCCTTGTTTTGGGTGACCCGAGCCCGGACTGGAAAACCCACGGGCTGGGCCTACCCGGACTGGTCACTGACCGGGCCACCGGGTCGGGCCGGGCCGGAACAGTGCCGGTCCCGGGCCAGTTCCGGGTCGGGCCACCTGGCCCGAGTCCATCCCTAATTAAACCACACAGATTAAGATTCTGTTTGGTAACATTGAAATCGGTTGAATCGGTTGATTTTGTTGAAATTTATGAAGTTTTGATTGAATTGTTGGATTGATTGATTCTGTTGATTTGAAAAAATTATATTTTATCAATAAAATAAAGAAAAGATAATAGGGGTGTGCATAAAACCTGAACCGAACCGGTATTGAATCGTCTCGTAATGGTATTGAATTAAATACCGGGTATTTAAACTGTTTTATATATTTTTATCTCGTATCGAAACCGTACCGTTTGAAACGGGTACGGGACCGGTCCTAGATTTTGAGAACCGAAAAATATCGGACTGAACCGTTCGAAAATCGTTGGAAATAGCATTTAAAGCATATGCCTTTTTATATTCCGGACTTTCCAGCAGCTTAACTTTTCATTTTCCGTTATGACTTTCAGTTTTCTTTTGTCCTTTAATGTATCATTTACTTCCCTATATATATGGGAGTCATAATGTATTATCTAATATGAGTAATGAAAGATCGGTCTGAACTTTTCAGTATATCTCAAAAATTTGTCAATGAAATAAAAATTCAGTTTGGGGTGGTGATAAAAACCATTCGTAGTGACAATGCCAAATAGTATTTTTCTGAATACTTCTTTAAATTTCTGGATAGTCATGGGGTCCTTCATGAATTTTCTTGTCCAGACACTCCTCAACAAAATGAAGTGGCTGAACGGAAGAATCGACACCTTGTGGAAACTGCTCGAACCATGCTTATTCATTACAAGGTACCTAAATATCTTTGGGGGGAGGCCATTCTTCAATCTTGTTATCTCATAAACCGCATGCCTTCTGATATACTACAAGGAAAGACTCCTTACAATGTTTTGTTCCCTAATGAACCTTTGCACAAATTACCTTTAAAGGTGTTTGGGTGCACTTGCTTTGTTCGTGATATCACTCCGGGAAGGGATAAACTCTCTCCTAAAGCTATCAAGTGTGTGTTCTTGGGATACTCTCGTCTTCAAAAGGGCTTTCGATGTTAGTGTCCTACGTCAAAGCGTATGTATACATCTTTTGATGTCACTTTCTTTGAGTCTACTCCGTATTTCTCTCATTCTTCTTCCCTTGACAAATCGAACTTTACTGATGAGTGTACAGAAATTGTCCCTATGCAGCCTTTCAAAGAACATGAACCCGTTCTGCCTGTCCCATACTTTCCTGAACCTGAACCTGCATCCCTGGCCATCTCTGAAAAAGGAACACCCAGTGACATTCCAGAGAACCATAATATTGAGTTCCCTTATACCTATCACCGTCGACATCGTTCGAGTAAGCCTTACCATCATCCAACAGAAAAAGAAGATAGTAATCCAAGTGATTTATGTGCTGAGCCATCGTCACCTCAAGAGTCAGCCCAAGAGATAACTAATGATATTCCTATCGCCAGCAGAATTGGTAAAAGATCCACTCGAAATCCTTATCCTATCTATAACTTCCTCTCATACAATCATTTGTCACCATCATATTGTGCCTTTATTACACGTCTCTCTTCTATTTCTGTTCCTAAAAGTGTCAAGGAAGCATTGAGTCATCCAGGTTGGAAAAAGGCCATGCTTGATGAAATGGAAGCCCTTCACTCGTGAGGGACATGGGAACTTGGCCTCTACCACCAAATAAACCTGTGGTCGGCTGCAGATGGTTATACACAGTCAAGGTTGGTCCTACTGACATGATAGACCGGCTAAAAGCCAGGCTTGTAGCCAAAGGATACACACAAGTGTTTGGAATGGACTATACTGATACATTCTCCCCTGTTGCAAAAATAGCATCAGTTCGCACTTTAGTGGCTATTTCAGCAATACGACAGTGGCCGTTACATCATTTGGATATAAAAAATGCATTCTTGCATGGAAATCTAAAGGAGGAGGTTTATATGGAACAACCTCCGGGATTCATTGCTTCTGGGGGAGCTGATCTAGTTTGCCGCCTCAAATGCTCATTGTATGGGTAGAAGCAGTCCCCACGTGCTTGGTTTGGACGGTTCAGTGAAGTGGTACAAAAATTTAACATGATTCAAAGTAAAGTTGACCATTCTGTATTTTACAGAATCCAAAAAGGTCTTAATATCTATCTTGTGGTTTATGTGGATGATATTGTGATCACGGGTGATGACGTAGAGGGAATAAAACTTCTTAAGAAGCATTTATTTCAGCATTTTGAAACAAAAGATATCGGAAAATTGAGATACTTTCTTGGTATTGAAGTTGCACAGTCAAAACAAGGTGTGTACATATCACAAAGAAAGTATGCTTTAGATATTCTTGAAGAAGCTGGTATGACAAACTGTAAGCCAATTGATACGCCGATGGATCCTAATGACAAGCTTCTACCGGGATAGGGGGAGCCTTTATCAAATCCTGGTAGATATAGAAGACTTGTCGGAAAACTTCTTTACCTCACTATTACACGTCCTGACATCTCATTTGCTGTAAGTGTTGCAAGTCAGTTTTTACAATCACCGTGTGAGAGCCACTGGAATGTTGTTACTCGCATCTTAAGATACATTAAACAAGCACTAGGTACAGGGATGTTATACCAGAATCACGGACACACAGAAATTGTGGGCTATACTGACGCAGATTGGGCTGGCTGCCCATGGGATCGAAGATCCACCATAGATTATTGTATACTTTTGGGTGGAAACTTGATCTCTTGGCAGAGTACGAAACAAGATGTGGTGGCACGATCAAGTGCAGAAGCCGAATATCGTGCGATGGCTCTTGGATCATGTGAGCTAATTTGGGTTAAGAATCTTCTTTCCGAACTCAATTTCTGCAAATTCAGACCCATGAGGTTGATATGTGATAACCAAGCAGCCCTACACATTGCAACGAATCCAATTTTTCATGAAAGAACCAAACATATAGAAGTGGACTGTCATTTCGTTAGAGACAAGATCAAATCTGGAGACATCATCACCACTTTTGTGAACTCAAAGGATCAATTGGCAGATGTGCTCACTAAGTCTCTTAGAAGACCAAGAATAGATTATATATGTAGCAAGCTTGAAGCCCATGATATATATGCTCCAGCTTGGGGAGTGTTGGAAATACTCCCTCCGTCCCTAAATAAAAACATCTGTTTCCTTTTCAGGCCGTCCCTAAATAAAAGTTCCATTTCCTTTTTTGGCAAACAAAACAGTGCAAAATAGTGCAAAACAGTGCCAAACAGTGTCCAAACAGTACCAACCAAACTCACTTTCTTAAGATGTGTGTAAAATGAATGGATACTTTTATATAGGGACGGAGGGAGTAGCATTTAAAGCATATGCCTTTTCATATTCCAGACTTTCTAGCAGCTTAACTTTTCATTTTCCTTTATGACTTAGTTTTCTTTTGTCCTTTAATGTATCATTTACTTCCCTATATATATGGGAGTCATAATGTATGATCTAATATGAGTAATACAAAAAGCTTCTCTTCCTAAATCAACAAAAATAATGCATTTGAATTTTTTATATTTTTTTCTATATCTTTTTTATTATTATCAAAGGTGGCTTAATTCATAGAAATGGAAATAGCATTCAGTGAGGGTACAAGATAATAAAAGAACCACAACTAATCATCCGCCCTTGGCCAAGACTGAGAGACGTGAGAGTTAACCACCTGTAGAAAAGCAGTATAACTCGCTAGACCGAAATTGGGTAACAAGCCAATGACGATTACCGTAGAGCTTTCAAAACCCAAACCTAATGCAAGATTCTTACAAAACACATAACACCAAAATAAGTCATAACAATAAAACCCAGGAAACAACAGGCACAACAATAGATTAAAATAACATCATCCTTAGTCTTTAGCATCAGCAACAACAAGTAGATACTCGGCGGGCCTAAGAAGATTGACCCGTCGCCGCCCCATTTTTTGGCCCATCGAGAGCCATTCATTCGCCTGAGCCATCTCCTTTAGCCTGATCATCCTAGATTCTTCTCCTCTTTGTATCTCCAGGGGCTTCCTCCTTTTCCTCTGCCTCAATCTGTTGCGGGATATTGGTCTTTGATTCAGCCGAAAATTCTCCCCCGAGATCAGTCTTCCGCGTATTTCCATATCCACCTGAGCTAGATGCCTCACTAAATAGCCATTTACTGGGTCCTGCAGAGCTGGTCTTCCCCCTTCCACCTGCTCTAAGGCCTACCCCATAGGACTTTTCAACAAAAAACTCTCTTCATACTTCAACGGGCAAAATTTATCAGAATGCCTAATTATACCACACAAAAAGCAAAAACTGGGTAGCTTTTCATATTTAAAGTCCACCCAGTGTTTAACCCCATCCTTTGTCAAAGTAGTACCTTTCTTCAAAGGCATACAAACATCCAGGCACACCCTTATATGCAGATAAGAACCCTGGTTGCCATCATAATGACTCGTTTCGAATTTAATAAACGAGCCTAAAAAATTACCAATTTTCCTGGCTGACCCTAAGTTCCTAAATTTAATAGGGGCATTATGAACCTGTACCCAGAAACTAGCCTCAAATAAATTCATAGATTCCGGTATATCATCAGGCTGAATTGCTTTCATCTGAATTAAATCACGTTCAAAAAGCCAAGGACCATCCCCGAGCACGCGATTCATATCCACAACATGATTAAAGTTCAGCACATACCTTTTTTTCTCCAATTTCCTTGATAGTCATACCTCTCCCTAGCCGCCAGAGCGAAATCATCAACTCTTGAAAACCTGGCAGTTTCACTTTCCGGTCGGTGATAACCACTCCAACCACCGGGTAAGTCTGCTTCTCGGTCACCTCGTCACCATCCTCAACCGCTTCCTCATCGAAATTAAGCTTGTTCTGTTGTTCTTCGATCGCCATCTTTTTGTATGAGTTGACGATGTCCTCCATCCAAAAGCCTCCTCGATCGATTTCGTCTTGCTTCGTCTTCAACCCGCTGGCGATTCTGCTTCACCAGCCGCCTTCGGTTCCTTCGCCTCCTTAAACGGCCGATCTTCGTGGGAGAG